GGGTTCGCACTAGCCGGCTTTTAAAAATGGTGGCGCCGGCTTTATGCTAATGAAGCCCGGGAAATTCAAATCCCGGGCTTCATTAGCAAGTTCGGTATGCATACATTACCCCCCTAGTTCGAACTAGGGGGGTAGTGTAGACATACCCTGGGTGTGGTGGACTGTCCCACTCAGTGGCACCAAGACCACTTTCAGAGAGTATGAGTCTACTCTTCAGCCTTAGCTGAGAGCCAGCTGGCTTTCAGCCCATGCAGTAGAGTCTCATGTTCTAAGCTTAAGAAATCCCAGGTTTTATTCCACCTGCTGGAGTTACATACTCACTGAGGGCATGTCGACACTAGCCCCCTAGTTGGAACTAGGGAGGCTAATGTAGGCATTTGAAGTTGCAAATGAAGCCCAGGATTTAGATATCCCGGGCTTCATTTGCATGTTCCCGGGCGGGCGCCTTTTTTAAATGCCCGGTAGTTCGAACTGACTGCCCGCAGCTACACACAACATGGACTAGATAGTTCAAATTAAAGCTCCTAAACGGGACGATGCAAATGAAGCCTGGGATATTTAAATATCTCGGGCTTCATTTGCAACTTCGAATCCCTACATTAGCCTCCCTAGTTTGAACTAGGGGGCTAGTGAAGACATACCCTGAGGGCTTTGCATCCTGAAGAGGTAGGAGCAAGCCCATGGTGATGAGATGTCTTCTATCAGTACCCGTTGCAATAGAACCATGGAGTGCTTGGGTTGGAAGAGGCCTCAGGAGGCATCAAGTTCAGCCCCCTGCCCAAAGCAGGACTAACCCAACTCCATCATCCCAGCCAGGGCTTGGTCAAGCTGGGACTTAAAAACCTCTAGGGATGGAGATTTCACCCCCTCCATAGGGAACCCATCCCAGTGCTTCTCCACCCTCCTAGGGAAGGTGAATTACTAATATCCAACCTAGACCTTCCCCCACTGTAACTACCTCCCACCCTCAGTCCTGATTTTTCAAATTTGCTGTCTGATCATCCTAAATGAGTCTTCCACGGGAACAGCTTGTCTGGACTCACTGCAGGGTACCATGGATGAGACAAGAGATCTCTGGCGCCCAAAGAGCCATTTTGCGGACTCATGAGGCAAGAGGCTAGTGTGGGTCTTTGAGACCTGGAACATTAAAAGGGTCCTCCTCCAAGAAACTAGTTACAGACTGCAGCAGAGACCAGCCCCTGAGAATCCATGACACTGGAATTCTTTCCCAGTGAATTGTGGGAGAAGGTGTCTGTCCTTTTGGGCACAGGCAGGCTGTCAGTGCTTTAGCCCGTTTCCATGGCAAAGTGGGTCTTACCACCCTGAGGCTATGTCTATACTGGCAGCTTCTTGCGCAAGAAACTCTTTTGTGGAAGAGTTCTTGTGCAAAAACTCTTCCAGAAGAGAGTGTCTACACTGCCATGTGCTTTTGCGCAAAAGATATGCTTTTACACAAGAGCATCCATGGCAGTGTAGACGTTCTCTTCTGCAAGAACGCTCTGATGGCCATTTTAACCATACGGGCTTCTTACACAAGAAATTCATGTTCCCTGTCTACACTGCCCTCTTCTGGAAGAACTCTTGCACAAGAGGGCTTATTCCTCATGGAGAGAGGAATAACTCTTCCGGAAGAAGCCATGTTTTACAACGCTGTACTGTAAATTTACTTCTGGAAGAACACTCATGCAGTGTAGACAGCCGGCAAGTTTTTGTGGAAGAACGGCTGTTCTTCCGCAAGAAGCTGCCAGTGTAGACGTAGCCTGAGTGTATACCCCCCTCGTGGGGAAGGGCTCCCTATCCCATTCTCCATCCACTCCAATGGATTTCCTGTGACCGGCCCAGGATATGGCATACGGTTTCATTTCCAGGTGCCAGGATCAGGCAGGGCAGGTGTTTGAAGCTCTTCTAGCCCAATGCTCTAGATGGCAGCGGATGGCAGGGGGGTGACTGAAGGCAGGGCAGCTCTAGGACACAGACACAGTCACTGGAACTCCCGCTGGGAAGCTGGGACAGTCCCAAAGTTACACAGGCAGCCAATGCAAAAAGCCTCAAGGCCGACAGCCTCCTGATACCCCAGCACCCACCTTGAGGTAGCGCCCGTCATGCAGGCAGCCGCATCCTTCCATGGACACGCACGTTTCCCCATTGAATGCGTAGCCAGCGTTGCACTGGCAGCCCTCAAAGCACTTCGCAGTGCACTGGGCAGGGGAGAACAAGCCGGCGCATGTGAAATCGCAGGACCTTGTGCACAGCTCGTAGTGACTGTTGGCTGGGCAGGTGAAAGCTGAAGAGACAGAAGCAAATGAGAGAGAGGCTTGTAAAACTGATCCCACCATGGACTATTACAGCCGTGTGGATAATAGATCTGGGCAAAATATTTTAGTGACAGAATTTTTTCTGAAAAATTCACTTTTCATTTGGGTCAAATTCAACAAATATTTTCTGCAGGAAAAAGCCTGTTGCTTTTTAAAATAAATAGTTAAAATATTTTTTTAAACTTTTTATTTCAAAACTGAATTTTGTCTCCAAATCTGGCCAATTAAAAACAAAACCACAGGCATGCACACAAAAGAGTGAAAGCCACCCCAAAATAGTGGAGTTGAAACAAAAAAAGTGGACAAAAAACTATTTTAAGGCAAAATGTTTTGGTCAATTTGAAATTAGTTTTTTTCCAATTAAAAGACAACATTGGAAAAAACGGTTTGGGTTCTAGTCAAACCAAATTTTGGGAAGGGATTGTCCAGGTCAGCCTCTGAAAACAATAATTTTTTAAACATTCACTTGTGGTGAATAACCAATTTTCTGTTCTCTAGCTAAGTTGAAATTGAAACAAAAGCATTTGTATTTTATTTTTTCAGGGTATTTTTAACCTTTAAAAAACCTTGAAAAAGTCATTTCAAATTTCAAAAAATCAAATTGCTTCAGTTTTTCCAGAATGATTATTTCTAACCAAAAGAATTCAGCAAATTTGACAGAAATTCTCCCAACATTTCAGTCAATCTAAATAGGTATATTGACACCCTGCTCTTGTAGTTCATACTTGCTGGTTTAGATCTTATTTCAGCACTAGAAGAGAGATTTTTCTGACTATAGCTGGAGGTTGGGTCTCTATACCCTTCAATGGCACGGCGCCCTCTAGCCCAGCCATGGAGGATACATTGGTGCAAGAATTGCCTCACAGAGAAGAGTGCCTTCCACTAAGTCATTCGCCCCGCTTGTAGCAATTCAGCACTGCCTAGCACTGCCTTGGTACCCAGGGTCCACACTGACTGAGGAGGAGACTGTCAATGACAGAGGCTGTGTGTGCACTACAGCAGCTATTGTGGTATAGCTGCAGCACTGCTGTTATACTCCCACACATCCCCTGAGCATGCAGTCTGCCAGCTCCTCACCTCTCGTAAGAGCTTTAGCTTGGAGCTCTGACAAGCAGAGAGTCTCTGATACTCTGCCATTAACTGGACACACAGCTATGGCGTGGCAGCTATGCTGCTGGGGCACCCTGCTGTAGATGCTTCCTGCATCTACAGAAGGGGTTCTCCCATTGGTGCAGTTAATCTGCCTCTTTGAGAGACGGTGGCTCAGTGGCTGGGAGAATTCTTCCATGGACACAGCTGTGTGGACAGCAGACTGAGGGCGACCTAGCTACCTCGCACCGGGGGTGGAATTTCTCACGGCCTGGAGCGATGTGGCTAGGCCAATCGGATTTCTAGGAGTAGTGTAGACCAGGCCTGCCTCACCCGGCCCATCCCCTGCAATCACTCCTAAAGAGCCACTGACCCCTCAGAACGCTTGGAGAGGGGCTGTGACAGCGACACTAACTGCGCATTCAGAGGAAAACAAACTTACGGCAGAAAGAGGCCGTTCTCCAGGCTCTGACTGTGCCTCCAGCTGCCTGGCATGCGGCCACGTAGGCCTGCAGGCTCTGGCAGAGGATTTCCCTGGCTCCGTTGGCCGCACACATGTCATAGAGGCAATGGCTGAAATATTCGGCAGGGCTGACGAGCGAGTGACAGTCTTTAAAGGGACCGGCTGGAGCTTTGATCAACCCACAGGAGCTCTCAGCCTGGTACGGCACCATCTTTGCTGCATCGCAGATGGGGCACCTGTCCCCACAACCATGGGAGCATGTGACACCCTCAACGGGCACCTTCCAGGCAGCCCCAAACTCATCCGCGTTCTGGGCGCTCTTCCCACTGGGCAGCAGGAAGTCGTCGTTCTTGTCGCCATTGAAGTTGCCACACAAGCCGCACACGTGTCCCTGGTAGGAGCTGGGGACGGAGACTAGGACATAATAGGACGTATCGTAAAGGACTTTCGGGCCAGAAGCAGACTGGACAATGATGTTGTTCCCCTCCTGGTTGATCCAAAGTTTCCCATCATCGGTAGCCAGTGGGAGAGTGTAGAATTCCCCATCCACCTGTGCCAATGAGTGAGAAATGACTTCGTCATCAGTGGGGACTCAGAAGCTGTGTTATGGACACACACACACACACACACACACACACACACGTCACTCTAGGCTACAATGAGCGTAATCTCAGACAGGACTTACCGTGACTTTCCATTTCCTTCCCCTCTCCATGGTGACAGTGTAGCCATGAACAGAGACGCTCACCGTCCGTGTCACTGACACTTGGCTCTCATTTTCTACTACCACAGAGAAGTTGGCCAGCCCAGTGTCACTACTGCAGACCCTGGCTAAGCTGTAAGTGCAAGTGCCCTGGAAATCAAAGGCCCGTCCATCGAAGGTCAGATAGTGGGGATCTCCAGAAGCGATGCATTTGCCACAGCCATTGGCGTGGCAGCCCAGGACTCCGTTCTCCACCCTGCACTGCTCGCTGGCTCTGCACGAGGCCTCCTGGCACTCGACGGCCCCGTTATCCTGGCACCGGCACCGCTCCTGGCAGGAGGCACTGGGGTAGAACTCCTCTCCCCTCCGGTAGTACCTGCCATGGTGCACGCAGCCGCACCGGGCGATGGGGACACACTGGTCACCACTCAGAAGGAACCCAGCGTCGCAGAAACACCCTTCGGCACAGGGGGCATTGCAGCTGTCCGGTGCCGAGAGGCTGTGGCAGGTGGCAGGGCAACCGTTCCCACAGAGCTCGTAGTGGGAATTGCGGGGGCAGGTGGGGCCTGCAAGAGAGCAGAAGGATAAAGAAGAAATGTGAAGGTAACTGGAGACAAATCTTTCCCCGTTCGTATCATGTACAATAGGGCCTGGTATGGTTGGGAACCAGGACTCCGAGGATTTATTCCTAACTCTGGGAGTGGTGTGGGGCCTAATGATTAAAGCAAGGGGCCTGAGAGTCAGGTCTCTTGGGTTGTAACCCAGATGTGGAAGGGTGGTGGGATTCACAGGATTAGAGAAGTGCAGATGGGTGTCAATTGTCCTGGATATTATTTCTGACTCTTGGAGGGGAAACAAGGACTGTGGAGAAGGGGAAATGTTCCAACAGCTGTTCTGAATTAGGACAATGGGTTGTTTTGTACTGTTTCGTGGTGTGAATCAGGACTCTTGGGTTCTACCACTGGCTTTTCTACCACTGGCTTCTCCTGGGAGAGAGGTGCTGGCAAGCATACCAAAATACAGCAACATAAAATTAAAGCAGAGGTGAGGAGGGGTGCATTAGGAAGAGCATTACCACCAGATCTAGGAAAATGATTGTTTAGGGTAACCTCCTAAATGATTGTTTAGGGAAAATGATTGTTTAGGGACATTCCTGAGAGTGTATCTGTATCAGTATCTATCCACTCACGTTGTATACATGTGTTAGTACTGTATAACACATTAACACAACGTGAGTGCGTAGATACAGATACTGATAAAGATACACTCCCTCTCAGAAGTGTCCTCTTTTTTGAAAGTTCAATTACAGTAACCCTAATTATTCCCCTTTATTTGGCATCCAATTCTGGGCCCCCATTGCATAAAGGATGTGGACGCATTGGAGAGGGTCAAACAAAGGACAAAAAAATGATGAGGGGGCTGGAGCACATGACTTATGAGGAGAGGCTGAGGGAGTTGGGTCTGTTTTGTCTGCAGAAGAGAAGAGTGAGGGGGGATGTGATAAAAGCTTTCAACTATCTGAAGAGAGGCTCCAAAGAGGATGGAGAAAGGCTGTTGTTAGTGGTGACAGATGGTAGAACAAGGAGCAATGGTCTAAAGTTGCAGTGGGGGAGGTCTAGATTGGATATTAGGAAAAACTGGGATGGGTTCCCTAGGGAGGGAGTGGGATCTCCATCCCTACAGATCTTTAAGTTCCAGCTTGACAAAGTATTGGCTGGGATGATTTATTTGGGGTTCATCCTGCTTTAGGCAGGAGGTAAGACTTGATGACCTCTTCTGTGATTCTGACTTCCAGTCAATGACACTGGAGGAAGGCTGGTGGAAGATAGTAGCTCTATAGTGGCACTAACACATGGGTCACCCATTCCAATCCTACCCTGTAGAGGGTGGGGATATGCACATCAGCCAGTTCATGAAGGGGAGTCAATTGGTGACACTCACTGCAGAAGAAACATTGGCTGGCTGGGTGCACTGAGCTGCTGTGGGCACCAGCCAGTGGGAGCTAGCAAGTCATTGCTGGATGTCTTGCAATCAGGTTTTCTGGGTTTTGTTGCCAGGGCTGGAAAGGGATTAGGGCCTAGCTGGCTAGCCAAAGAAGGGCTGGGATTCCAGAGTCCAGATTTCTCTTTTGGCCTTTGGTGTAGTGATAAGAGCTGAAGACAAGGGGACATCTTCCAAGTTGAGTCCCATGCTCTGGCAGTGGGCTACTGTGCAAAGTTTAGTGCTGGAGGCCTGATAGTCAGGACTCGTGGTTTCTGCCACTGGCTTCCTGTGTGACTTGGAGCAACTCCCTTTAGTTCTGCCTCCATTTTCAAGCACCCTGCTGGGAAGGATGACCAGTGTGTGCAAAGTATTTCCAACACCCGGCAGGTGGGTGTCAGTAATGACCCAGGATTCTGTGGCTACAGCACAAACTTACAGCAAAACGGAGTCGGTGACCTTTACAGTCAGCCACACTGGCTGTTTAGGGCCTATGAGACACGGCTGGGCCGTTCTGAGCCTCGTGAAGAGGGCACCGCACATGCAGGCTACCAAGTAAAGCAGACTGTAGTAGGTGACACTTACTGCAGAAGGAGGCCGATCTCCACGGCCCCAACGGGATGCCCCGGGCCTGGCAGGCCGTCACGTAGGTGCTGATCGCGCTGCACAGGGCGTCACGGTGACCCTTGTACTGGCAGGTGTCCAAGACGCAGTCGTCGAAGAAGGGGGCGGGGTTGATGACTCTGTGGCACTCTCTGAAGGGCCCGTCCCCTGTGGTGAGGAGCCCACAGAACCGAGGGCCTTTGTAGGGTTGTGTCTCAGCTTCGCTGCAGAGAGGGCAGTTCCCGGTGCAGATGTCCGAGCACCCTGGGCTCTCCTCCACCTTCCAGCTCTCTGCGAACTGGACGGCGTTGGCCGCCCGTCTCCCGTCCCTCATGGTCAGGTCGTCACTGGCGGTTTGGTTGTTGTCGCCGCACAGGCCGCAGAGGGCGTTGGCATAGGTGCTGGGCACGGTGACCCGGACCAGGCTGTTCCAGTCAAAGGTCACCCTCAGGTCGAAGGCGGTCTTGATGAGGACGTGAGCTCCGCTGACATAGGCCTGAAGCTTCTCCTCATGGTAGAAAGGCAGATCCACAAAGACTCCGTCCACCTGGAAGAGACACGGCCGTACTGGGCTCACTTGTGAGCGAACACTGTGAGGAGAGGGAGAGAGCCAGGACTCCTGGGTTGCATCCCCGGCTCTGGGAGAGGAGGAGAAGGCAGAGGCATGGGGCGGGAGGCTGGGCTTGGGGCATAGTAGCTGAGAGCAGGGCGGCGGGGGGGGGGG